CTGCCTGCTGGCCCCCAGCTGCCGCGGGGGGCGGGGGAGCACCGCTCCTGCCTTGGCCCCGCGCTAGGGGGACGCTGCATCTTTAAACCCGCTCGCTCTCCTGGGGGGGGGGGGAGAGAGAAGAGAGGCGGGAGCTCTGACATCTCAGCCAAACTTGAAGCCTCCAGTCCCACCCTTTCCCTTTCCCATTGGAGAGCTCTCCCCGACTCGGCCAGGGCTTCGCAGTCCCGCGCTGGGTTCTGGCTGGGCGGCCTGTCAGACCCGGCCCAAGCCCCGCCCATCTGGGCGAAGTTAGGGTGTGCGAGCAGCAAACCCACTCTGGACAGCTCCAGCTACCTAAACAGAAGACGTAAGAGGAGGAAAGGGCTAGGACATGGCGAGGGAACGGCGCTGGCCCGGCTGAGAGAGCTGCTCCCCCCCTACACACACACACACACACACACACACCCTCCCCTCCCGCGCACGCACACACACACGCACACACACAACTGAGAGGCCTTATATTACCCCCCCACCCCCAACCACGAGCATCCTGCCAGCCCCGCCAGCCCAGCCCCCCATGGACTGAATGAAGACTGCCTACACCGCCTATCGATGCCTCACCAAAGAGCTGGATGCCTGCGCCATGAACCCGGAGATGACAATGGACAGCCTGGGCACTTTGCATGGGGCAGCCAGCCATGAGCAGGACCTGCTGGGCAGCCCCAGCCCGCACCACCCCAGCCGCAGCGCCGGATCGCTACGGGTCCACCCTCCTCCTTCGCACCAGGACTTAGCCGCTGCCTCTTCTCGCTCGGCCATGGTGTCCAGCATGGCTTCCCTGCTAGACGGGGCAGGGGATTACCGCCCGGAGCTGTCCATCCCTCTCCATCATGCCATGAGCATGCCCTGTGACTCCTCGCCCCCGGGCATGGGCATGAGCAGCACCTACACTACTCTGACTCCACTCCAGCCCCTGCCGCCCATCTCCACCGTCTCCGACAAGTTCCCTCCTCTCCGGCAATGTCAGCGGGAGCTTCACCCTCATGAGGGACGAGAGGGGACTACCGGCCATGAACAACCTCTACAGCCCCTACAAGGAGATGTCCGGCATGGGGCAGAGCCTGTCTCCCTTGGCTGGTACCCCCCTGGGCAACGGATTGGGGTCCATCCACAACACCCAACAGAGCCTCCACAACTATGGGCCTCCCAGCCACGACAAGATGCTCAGCCCCAACTTTGATGCCCACACTGCCATGCTGGCCAGGGGTGAGCAGCACCTCTCCCGGGGGTTGGCGACCCCTCCCGCGGCCATGATGTCCCACTTAAACGGCATGCACCATCCTGGACACCCTGGCCATGCTCAGTCTCACGGGCCCGTGTTGGCTTCCAGCCGGGAAAGGCCGCCCTCCTCCTCTGGATCTCAAGTTAACAACTCCGGGCAGTTAGAAGAAATCAACACCAAAGAAGTGGCACAACGGATCACTGCAGAGCTGAAGCGCTATAGCATCCCCCAGGCGATCTTTGCCCAGAGAGTGCTGTGCCGTTCTCAGGGGACCCTTTCAGACCTTCTAAGGAACCCTAAACCTTGGAGTAAACTGAAATCTGGCAGGGAGACTTTCAGGAGAATGTGGAAATGGCTGCAGGAACCCGAGTTCCAGAGAATGTCAGCCTTAAGACTTGCAGGTAAGTTCCGGCACCCAAAATACGGCCTATGTACATAGGCAAATAGACAAAGTATTCCACCAAAAGAGCCACTGAAAAATTGTATTGTGGTGCTGCAGGTTCAGACTTTCCGCATAGCTTAGTGCTTGGTTGTGTTGAAGCGACTCTGTTTTAAAGGAACTTAATGATAAATACATTACTCTGGCCCCCTTATATATGTTTAATTTGACTATTTCTAGCTACTGGGTGCTACTAGACTGGCTTGTCTGATGGCACTGCTAAGAGGACAATGGTTTGGAGGATTTGGTTTCTCGATGCTCTGTAATCTTTACCCATTATCGAGGCTAGAATAGTGCCGAGTTTTTGACATTTCATGTTGGAAAATCCTTATTGCACCCAGCAAAAATCGCTTCAGGTTTGACCCACACAATAAAGGATGCATGGAAGGTGCATAGTATCCTTGTTTATAGGACAGAGGTCATTTGTTCTGTTTATTTCTCTCAGAAAACTTCCTTGGACGCAAAGAGAAGTCTCGAAGTGATGTCTGACGTATTGTATCAGTTTTAGGAGCGGAAAAAGCATCAGATCCTGGAAAACCTGTTATAAAGAATGGCGCATTTTGTTGAAGGCAGTTTAGAATAGCTGTTCTCTAGGCTTTGAGTGCTTCAGTTTAGTTTTTTCCCCCATAGCACCATTATCTTTCTTTTCTGGTCACATCATCGCATTTAGCAGACAAACCATAAAACGTGTATTTCCTTTGCACTGACGATGTTGTGTGAATCATTTCAAAGGCTCCTCAGTGAAAGGAAGCAATACATTAAGTGTGTGATAAATTACGTGCCGAGAAATTAAGCTGTAGATTAATGCATCTCAAAGTATAAGGCTGCAATACCCTCTTTGCATACACGGGCACTTATTTTCTACAGAGCACAGAAATAGATTTGAAGCCGAGAGAGAAAACAATCACATTTAGTATATTGTTCTAATGTGAGGTGACGCTGTATTGTGCTCCCTCTGCTGTAATCAAAGAGAAGTACACCCCTCTATTGTTCTAAGATTACAAGAAATCGTCCATTAAGGTTGCTATTTGAGGAGGATGGGGGATAATAATACAGATGGTTTGAAAATAAATCACTATCTGAAAAAGTATACATGGGTTTATGAATAGATGTTTCTTTCCTTGATATGGTGTGCAGTGGAGGAGCAAACCAATAGAGTATTTATGCTTCAACAATAGACTTGTAAAGCTTGGGAAAAACCTGTGTTCCTGGGGAGCGTGTGATCTCTTTTCATATAGTGAGGAGAAAGTGTTTGCCTAGATGAACATCTGCAGTCCTTTCAGCATTGCTTTGGCTCTACAGCTGGAAAGAAAGACATGTAGGCAAGAATTAACATATGTGCATTTATTACACTCTGCTTCTCTGTCCCATCACATTTTAACATAACACGCAAGATACTGGCAACCTGTTTTGACACATACTAGCCCTTTTCCAAAAACAGCGTGTGTCTCATTTTCATAATGTGACAGCAGCATGTTTACAAATGCATTTTAGAAGGAATTTCTACTCTGACAACTGCCTCGTTCACCTGTGGTTGGATTGATTCCAATCTGTAGCAATTAATCGTTTGGTATTATTGATTAGCAGAGAGTAAATAACCTTTCGGAAAGATTACTTTTTGCTTCAAAATCCACCTTCCATTCGTACGCAGAGGGGGTTGTTGTCGTTTTTCCTGGCAGTGTCTAGTCCCGAGTTCATTTATTTCTCACGCTTCTGCGATGATTTCTTGCTAATTATAATTATTGATTAATATTAATTTTATTATGACGCTCTACCTCGTGGAAAGAAACGCAGACGGTAGGGTAGTTGTGAGCGTGCTTGCTGTTGTTCACAATGTTCCATTGAAACTTAACCTGGTGTGAGATTTGAAATCCTTTGTTTCTAGTTGTGTGTGTGTGTTTCTAGTTTGTGTGCGCGCGCGTGCAGTTGGCACACTTTCTAACAATGCAGTTTGGAAACACTATATAGTGAAATGCAAGTTCTACTCCCTTCCTTTTTTCAGTCGCTCTGAGGGACAAATCATGCGTGAGACGTCCTGAGTGAATAGAATAGATCTCTTTGGCCTATCTCAGTGGCCAGCGGGACTCTTGCAGTGCGTTTCTTTGGTGAGGGACTGCAAGCTTTGTGTGAATCAAGATTTTTTTTTCCCGAAGTGCAATGTACAAAACAGAAGTTAGGGCTCTTTTCTTATTCATTTAGGGGTATCGTTGGGTCAGAATTGCTAAAATTGCAGGAGAAGGTATAATCATTCCCTTGAAGTCCTAACAACGGCGAAAAGCTTATACAATATATTGCTCCAGAGAGGCGTTTAAATAGAAGCATACAAATATTCGGATTGTATCTATTATCAAAAGTAAGGTGAGGTTTTCTCATTTATTGTGTGATTTGAGTAACAACAAGAGTGTTAAGGGTATTTGTAGTAGGCTACTTTTTTGGTCAATAGATCACTCTCCTATTGTAAAATATTCCATAGCGGGGATCTGGGTAAATAGTAGCTATAGGGCCGGTGTGGTGAAAACAGAAACCATCTCTCCATGAAATATTGATAGGAATCTCTGCACCCCCCCAGAACAGGACATGCCAACCTCACTTTGTTTGGGGTTAAACAGGTACAAACCTGGCCTCTCGGCTTTCGGGTCCAAATCCATCACTGAGAGCCTTAGAGATTTTTTAGGGAAAAGAAACCGGCCCAAAGCCACCCTGGTATATTAATTTTTACAGCAGGCTGTAGGGTTGATTATTTTTTCCCGTCGATTCCAATGGCCCCTGTGGCTGGGGGAGGGAGGAAAGAGGACAGGGCTGGGAAGGTGATTTTGTTCTTGACTCTGTAGGCTATTAAAAATTCATGGTATCCTCTCTAACACACCCAGGGTGAGATGGGGTTGTGTATTTATTCCTTGGCCTTTTAACCATATGAATATATTTAGCTGAGGAGTCTGCGTTTGTCTGCAGCTGTGTAGAAGGATACGGTCTTTGGCCTCAAAAAGGAAAAGTGGAATCCGTGAGTGATCTCTTCGGAGCGAGGCTTTCTGATGAGTGGGATGTACATTAATGTTACTAATCAAATTATGATGCCTTCGAAGCGAGAGAGATCACGAGTTAATGGTTTTCACCTTTGTGATACAATCACTTACGCACACACGCACTAAATTGAACGATTTTCAATTAGGGAAACATCACTAGTGAAGGCAGAGAAGATCTACATAAAATAATGAGGTGAAGAAGAATATGCTGGTGGCCTTATCTCCACCAGGGAAGACATTAAAACTAAATCCACTCATCTGCTTCAGTTTTCATTGGTTGGAAGGGTGGGGATAGCTGTTGGGGAGCTAGCTATACCAGGCATTTTTTCCTGAAATGATATGCAATCGCTAATTTTGGCTCATTTGGGAACTTGTCATTTCGATTAACATCCATCGTTGCTCATCCTCTGTCCCACAACAAAAGCATGATGGATACACACCGACAGCTATTTCTCGAGATCCCTGGTAACTGACGTTCCTTTTTTTCTGCACTGTTCTACACAGATTCCCATTGACACCAAAGGAAAGAGCTATCATGTGTATGTGGCGAGATCCACATCCCAAACCTTATCCTGTTCCCGTGGAAGTCAATGGGATTTCTGCTGCTTTCTGTGACGGAAGCACTGGGCCCTAACTTTGCATATTTTAAACACTGTTCATTTATGCCGCGTGCATTCCAGCTGACGGGGATAAACGATGCAAAGAGACAAACATAATAGTCGTTAATGATGGTGATTCAGATTTCCTAATATTTTAACCTATTCCTATAATTGCATTGAACAGCGAAAGTACATTTCTCTGCAGCTCGTTCAGTGAGAGAATATATTATTTATGGAGGTGTATATGTTCGCGCGGGTACACTCAGCATCTCAGTTAGATATAGCTGCACATATGGAAACAGCTTGGTATGTGTAGCTAAACGTTATACTCTAATCTTGCAATATTCCATTGTAACCAATGCAAAATATAATCTTGTACCGACGGTGTCAAGTCACTTTAGTCAATATGCACCTTGCGTCCTATAGAATCGTGTATTAACATTTGTACATTACACAGCCATACTTTTGCTTGATGGGCTAATCAAATTAATAATTGAAGAGCTCGCTCACTACTGTCCTTGTCTTTTCGAGTCCCCTGTGAATCAATAACACCTTTCTAATATGCATTAGTGCTGGGTCCCGAAGAGCATTGGTGGGTGGGTAGGAGAGGCCGCATACCACACGCGGAATAATCAGGGGAACAGGATCCCATAAAGCGAGAAACCTCCAACATTTATTTTTATTCCAGGCTTTGCAGCCATGTGGTTATGTCACTTTCCCAAACAAATGTGTATATGTAGGGAGATCGATGCTGATAATGTTTAGAAGATTAAAAGAGCATTAATGCTGGCAACAGTAACATAAACGTGTGGACCCAGTTTTCATTGATCTGGAACCTGATCCGGCTTGTTTCCAGTAAAGCTGATGGCGCTGGCTTTCCCAGCACAAGAGTGGGTGTCTGTGTCTGTGTGTGTGTGTGGGCGCGCGCATGTCACAAACCCTCCCTATCCCAGCACAAGACGCGTGTGTGTGTCGCAATCCCTCTCTATCCCCTTACCAAAACGTTGGCTACACGGATTGTGAAAGATAATGGCCAACATGTCGATTCACCCTTCCGTACGGTGCCAGCCACGTTCGCTTTGCAGAGGGAGCCGCGCCTACGGCCCAGTGGGAAAGCAGACGGCTGGGTCGAGTTAGGGTTAGCTCTTTGCGGTCCGGGCCCTGCCTTCTTCGCTAAACTAGTCACCACTGTCCTTGCGCTTCTGTTGCATGCTAAGTGGTGACCATACGAGTCGGTGCTTTGCTTTAGCGCGGTAATACCCCAACAGAAGGCCAGGCCGGCGGGCGGGCGCTTTTCTCTCCAACCAATACAAATGCCCCTGGCCGCCTGTCTTGTCTTC